GTGTAGAGCAACACTTTTTCAGAAAATATTGTTGACTTTGCAGATTGTTTTATTAATTGCTTTGAAGACAATTAATAAATCATAAATTAATTTCATTTTCACATGTGCTGTGATAAAATGATTAAGTGCTATTTGATTAAAAACTGAACAGTGCAGTGAAGTGCTGTCCAAGCTAAAGAAAAGCCATTATGGCAGACTTGTACATTGAATTATTGATCAGCTAGCATGGTTTGTTCTAGGTAATTAAGCTGTGAGTGTTGTGGGAATTGATTGTTGAAAGTTTGAAAGAGAACAAAAAGGTCAAAGTCAACACATCAGTGCTCTTTCTGCCCCAACACAGAATGTCAGCCAATTGGATTGAGATATGTGGACAATTACATGTCTGTTTGTGCAGTAGGAACGAGATTTATTAGGAGAGAGAGGGAACATTTTTATATTTTAGAAAACATGTTTTCAAAGTCACTTTCTGCTGTATGTATTATAAAAACGGACTTTCACAAGGTGTCACATCAAGTCTTTAGAAAGAAACTAATCTATCTCACCAAATGCTTAACTTTAACCTCTGAAAACCCCAAAACATCTTACAACACTTCCCAGTTAAACCAGAGGATTAGAATCTGTCACCAGAGCTTGCTGCCAAATCTAACATCAGATAACCTGCATTATTGTTCAACCATGAAGAGAACACAGAGCCCTTTGTTGGAACCCATCATAACATGAAATAAAAAACACCGTCCTTATTTAACATTTTGATAAAGAGGACCTCACTGTGGAAATGAGCACGATACGTCAGGATCATGTCTGATGAGGCTGATGAAGGCCGAGCTCAGCAACACCTCGGCTAAGCTCTGGAAACCTCCGAACATACACATCAGAGCTGAACGGTGGAGGATTACTGCACATGACAGGCTGTCACCCTCTGCTAGGTGGTGAAAAATCACAGCTCTCTGTTTCCACTCAGGCACAGCTGGGAGGGAAGCTTCCATCGCAGGTCGCACTCTACTGTATAGGAATTGTAAAACTGTCTCTACTCTGCACACAAAACATCATAACACGCAGTCTGACGTAGACACAAGAGTTTCATCAGGTTTAAACTTCTTAAAAGGCCCAATTTAACGGTATTAATGATCCAAACTGGTGGAAAAGTCTCACAGCACCCACACAAGTGCATTTTTAGTAATTTAGTCATCATGACACATTTATTTTAGGACACTATAAAACAGCTAAAGCAAAAGTGTTTCCATCCTGATGTAAGAATAGCATTTTATGAGTATGGAAGTAAGTACATCCCTGTAGGAATCCAAGTCTCTGCGTAAGTAAATTCCCCAAATGACCTTTTAAAGTTTTCTTTAAAGTCACCACTGCTATCGTAGTGTGGTTGTGTTGAGGTTGTGCAAAGATTGACTCTTATTGATTTAGAGATTTTATTGCTTCCACCAAGGAAGTTATGTTTTGTTTGTTTGTTAGTTAACAGCATCACACAACAACTGCTGGACGGATTTACCACAAGATTTGGTTGAGGGATGCGATATGAGTCAGGGAAGAACCCATTCAATGTTGTGCAAATCTGGATCATTCTTTATTTCTTTTTTTTTAACATTCTGAGATAGGACGTTAGGACAAAAAAATCCGACCGGTTTAGGGGACTGATATTTATGAGTGTGTGCAATCCATAAAAAGATCTAAGATTTAGTGGAATGTGATTGAATTGCCCCTCTGGTTACATTTCTATTTATTCTTGTGTTATCTGTCTCCCTGACTTTTATTATCCAGGACACCCGTGCAAAAGAGATTAAAAAAGAAAAAACGATTCCTGGTGAAATTAAGGTTCAATAAATAAGAGTTGAATCCCTCTTTATGATTTGCAGCTCTGTTGTGACAGAGTGTGTGTTCTGGCCTGTTGATGAAGAACTGAGCCAAATATTTAGAAGAGGATTTGTTCTGTTATCAGACACTGAGCTTCAGATCCGCTGGGCTGAGCAGGAGGGGTGGGCGGTCGGGGGCTTGCTCCCTCCAAACATGTGGGTCTCACACCTCGGTGGCAAAAGGTCGTGTATGAGACTTAACAACTCAGAGGTGTAGTGCCTCGCTGCTCCTCTTTCTCCGCCCTCCATCGCTCCATCACACAACTCTGCAAATTAAACACATTCCTCTCCGCCTCGAACTGCTGGCTGATTCAATTTGAGCCCCCCCACCACCACCACTGCTGCCCCTTTAATGTGCCACCTCCCCTATTCCTCACCCCCATTTAGATGCACGCACACGTGCAAATGAGCAAATGGCTCCTCAACTTAAAAGAGCTGTTCAGGAGCATCAGTCTGAGCATCAGGCCTCAAATCCCTCAAACTAACATGTGAGTCAGGAGGCCAAACAGCTCAGTAACTGGATCTGTGTTTGCTTTTCCTCCAGGGATGCCCCTTCTTCCCTCACCACTATTATTTTATTAGGGATGGCCCGGCTCATCCGCTCAGGGAGCTCACCGCTGTTTTCATGTGTCTCCCTCCATCCTGTTTATCTGTCTGCTTGTCTGGATGAACAACCGAGAGCCTAAGCCCTAATTGACTTGGCTGGAATTGGAGGAGCGAAGTTCCACAAGCAGCAGGTAGTAATTACTTCACAGCAAGTTAATACCAACAGCATGCTGGGCCGGGTGGGGGGGTTGGGAGTGGGTAGGATGAGGGCGCACGGTGGGACGTTGGGGGGGGTGGAGGGGACAGAGGAGGTCTGGGGGGTGAGGCTATAGTGTTACTGGCTTTCTTTCATCTGTCTCAATAGAGATACAGGCGCAGCGCTCTGCGACTGAATGACTTCTTGACTCCTCGGGCAGGTTAGGGAAGTCAGAGGGTGTGTGTGGCCCTGGCCGGAGCATCACATGCCCTCCCTGACCTTTCACCACTCTGCAACCCGCCATCCCTCCCTTCCTTTTTTGGCAGAAGCCCCACAGACTTTTAGCCTTTTGGCTGTGAATCTTCTGCCGTCAAGTTTTCTATGGCGAACAAATGAATGAGGCTGTCTTAGTTAATGTGTTCCAGACCACTGACATATTTCTCAATGTTTGAGTGAAATAAAAGAAAAAGTGTATAAGGGACACAGAGGGGGTCAGCAGAAATACAAAGGTAATCACTTTGACCCTCAATTATTGCTTCCTTTGCAAAACATAAATGGTCCCCTGAGCTCTGGCCGTCGCTGCTTTCCTCTCTCTGAGTGGATCGTGTTGTTTTAAACTCAGGCCTCTAAATCAGGAAGGAATAGAAGGATTTTAACACCATACTTCACACATCCTTTTTAAATCTACACTGGATTTAATTAATGTATCATTTGTTGGGTTCTGATTTGATATCATATCATATTACAGTGAAAATGAAAACTAACAGGATAAAAGACAAATAACTGACAGAATAAATACGTAAGGATAATGAAACACTCTGAAGGTGCCTTATAGTCCGAATGATTAGGGCTTACGTAATAAAACTGTGCAGCTATCAACTATCAAAGATGGTGAAAAAAGCCTAATAGGTTCATTCAACCTCTTTTTAATTCTCATTAATCAGTGCAATGATACTTACATGTGTTCCTAAAGCTTCTCTGCGCTGAAAAGCTGCTAAATGGACCTTTTTCTCTCTGATGTCACGATAAAGATGTTTGTGCTGAGTTCACACTCACCCATAACAAATGTATCAAATATTCCACTTGCACCATCGAGATTAATAAAAACATATAGAGCCCCATTATAATCTTTGCACTAGTGCTGCTCCTGAAGAAAAGACATGAAATCATTCCGACACGTTGCTCCACTGTGTGTTGCAACATATCTAAAGAGCGTCATGTTTCATCCAATGAGCACATGGACCCACCAATGTCCCTGTCACCGACCACCCAGCTATTATATTCCAGTGCATGAACATCCAGTACAAACAAAGACTTTAAAGCCTCTCAAGATGAATAGTCACTGAGCTGGAGCTGGTGTTTTCACCTCCTGCTCGTGGAAAGGGAGACATTGTGATGTTTAGAGCCAAGCTTCTAGTATCCTGCAGACTTCTGGCATATTTCAGACAGTCATTAACATTCACCTAATCTCACCCACATCCTAAAGAATGAACTTCAACAAGCTACATCAGTGACAGGATCATTTAAAGGACCCACTCAGGATATGTGTTTCTTCAAGTTTTACTCTGTGGAGTAACTTTATACGTATTTACTTACATGACTTGGAAGGGGCAGTTGGGCGTGTGGAGGAACTTGAGCTCTTTGATGGAGCGCTGGGGAACCGTGTTGAGGGTAGAACGACACCAACACCGCTCCACCAGACTGATGGGCTTCGCTGCATACACACAAAGGAAAATGACAAATTAGCATTATATATGACAGCAGAGAAATTCAATAGGATTACAAGGGGATAAATTGACACAAGCGTTGACAGGATTTGAAATAAATCAGCTGAATTTTTTTCGCAGTCCAGTAGCAGATGATGTGCCTGCTGGAGAGGATGGAAAATTGCTGAAATGTTTCATTTAATTGTCGTACACAGAGAAGGGATTGTTAAGATCCACACAAGGATTTAAATATTAACATAAAATTTAAATCCAAATGAAAGTAGCTTTGACTCCATTTCAGTTGTAATTAAATGCATCACTTCCCTCAGAAGACAAATGAAAAAACATGTCCAATGTACTGTTACAAGTCTTTAATCATATGGGAACGTGTAGGTTTACCTGCTACAGCTCTGAACAACATGTTCATTAAAAAGAGATTAGCGCTTTCTGACCACTCACACACACACGCAGAATTTTAGCTTTTAGCATTTAGCGAGGCCTCCCTGAAGGAGAAGGGCCCTCGACATTCAATTTGCAATATTCGTCCTCTTTTATGAAAGGGCACTCTGCGGCTCAGACGGCATCAACAGCCTCTGTGGAAATCACCTCAAGTACATTCTTAAAATGATTACAAATCACCCCCGCGCCTCCACTGAGGCTTTGTGGGGGCCCAGAGGCAAAAACTTCCAAATGCAGGCGATTATTGTAGTTTTGTAATTGTTTGCCTTCTTAAAAATACAGCAGAGTTTCTAAAGAAAAAGTGAAAGGTTGTGAAAATGTCAGTTCTACGGATGAAAGCAAAGAGTCGGCAATAAAAAATGAAATGAGTTAAGAAACCAGCTAATGGCCTGGACTTAATAGACTGGGTTTGAAAAGGGGGAAAAAAGAGAGTCAAGAAATTACAGAGGGACGCAGAGCAGATGCTGATTTTGTGGATGTTTAGAAAATTCAAACAACTCATTCTTTGTGTATGAGCTGTTTCCTGCTCAGATAAACACACAAATCAACAAAATCAAGTGGAACTAACAGACTTTTGTTCTGGGCTTCAGCATATTCCCATTGATATGCATGTTTATAATGCAACACCAAATGTGCTGCCACAAATGGCTAAATCCTCAGTAATATCGGCCTAATGACTCTCACCCATTCAGGCTCCTTTCTCATGCAAACTAAGGGATCATTATGCAGCACGGAGCACCAGGGCCGGCAGCGAGCATCCACCACTATCACCAGCGCATTGTTTATCCCTAATTAGAAACTAATTAAAAGAAAGCAAAGAGAAAAGACACATTTAGAGCTGACTCTTTAATGTGCTACCAGAGGTCTAACTGGGGCCGAAACCTCAAGCTGAGAATGAACGCAGGACACCCAACACCCTGACATGTTCCGATTACTGCTGGGTCACAACTGCACCACACCTCTGATACGTGAAGGATTTTACATCAAATAGCAATTGATTAATTTCACCTTGATTTACTGATAAAAAAACTAAAAGCAAAAAAGATATTACTGTTAAAAAACAGTATAAAACCCTGTAGTATAGTAATATAGATTACCAGTTACAGTCAGTTTCAACTTCTATACCATGAAACCAGAGTTGGAACTATAAATATTATCATTAAAATGTTCTGATGATTATTTTGTTTCATTATTTTTTAGATTTTCCAATTGTTTGTTTTGTCTGAAGATAGAGATCTTTGAAAACCAGCAAAAATTAACACTTGAAAAGTCATCCAGTTATTTTCAATTAATGGCATAATCAACTAATCAATCCCAAAACTAGCTGCAATATTGTTTGGACTTATCCACTAATCATTACATCTGTACAATAGGCATTTAATACAGATGAATAATAATGAAATATAAAGTAAAACTCTGCTCTCTCCTCACTAAATAACATGATCCATTACAAAATAGAAATAAAGCAGTGAACTTAAGTGTTGTATTTCCTGTAACAGTCAGAAGTGAAGCAGCAACACAACAGGATTTGACAAAAAAGATTTCTTTCTAGATGTCAACAAGTGAAGCTCATCATCAATATCAACCTAAATCCAGAGGAATAAAACCTGACAAAGACCAGAAGTACAGCTTTGACAACTAAAAAGGAATTTAATATGAAGCCAGATCTTCATCATGATGTGAGACATTCTGCAGATTTTTCATTCAATAGCTAATATAAATACCAATATTAACTATCCAAATGATGGATGGAGCAAAACCCCAATCCACATCTTAGTTTTTTTCTAAAAACTTCCATGTAGCAGTCACAACTTTCAGTAATAAATCTGCAATTCCTCTCCTGGACTCACCGCTGCAGGCTGGTGCATGTGTGGCCACGGCCAGCAGAGCCATCAGTGCCAGCAGTTTGACATCCATGGTGGTGGTGGGCTCACAGGCTGCAGGAGGGCTGCTCTCTCTCTCAGCTACAATCCAGGGCACAACTGTGACCGGCAGCTCTGCTCTGTGCTGTGTTAAAGCCTCAGATGGGAGAGAGAGGGAGAGAGAGGGAGAGGGAGTCCCACTTTCTCAGGAAAGGAGGGGGGTCCCAGCATGAGAGGAGAGGAGGTGAAAGTATGGGAGGGGAGGGGAGGGGAGCGGCAGCGAGTCAGTACAGACTTCCTCAATTGTAAATGTGTTGGCTGAGAATCAAGAAGAAATTCTGTGGAATTCTGTCTCTCTTTCTCTCTCCAGTGGGTCTCCTTCATTTTCTCTCTTCCTGCTAAGTTTTATTCTTCTTTTATTTCAGATACTTTTGCCAGTTTCATCTCTATTTCAATTTTTTGTATTATTCGGTTCATTTGCTTTCCTCCCTGTTGCCATCTGCCACACACACACACACAGCTTCCACCACGTCCCGCCAATCACTCACAGTCTATTTTCAGAGCCAGGTCTCCTGCGGTTGCACTAATATTGTTGTATATTTCAGCTGAGTGTTGTGTTATTGTTGACTGGGATACAGACTGTCACTCCACCTCCTCTCTCTGTACTTGCCATGTCTCTGTCTCTTTTTCCTGCTTGCTGACTTTCAGTCATCTGTCTCGGCTCTCATCCATAACGCCTGGTTCTTGTCTTTACTGGGCTCCTCTGGATTGTATTGTCTGCTCTGTGATGAGACCATCAGGGGCCTGTGAAGGCTTCACAATTGTTCCAATAACAGAAGCAGGGAAACGCAGTGCTGAATGAAAATGAGAGCATGTGTAGATCCTGATGTAACTGTGATAGACTGTGAAGGTTTTCTGTCAGTGAAAATGATTAACATAAAGGTGCAAGTGGAGGTGAAGCTTCAGTGACGGGCTGCCATGTTCGCCAACATCAGTTAACTGAAAAATGTGACACTTCTCCACAGCTTTAAGATGAATATTTCTAAATAAATTTAAAAGCAAAAATAAGAAAACTATTTTGTGAGAAAATATAATATTACAGTACAATACATAAACAATGAGAAAAGTTATGATGTTACAAAAGAAGGGGCTGTTATCTAACAAATCCTTTCTTAAAATAGAAATTGTATTAGAGAGTCAATACAAAAACAGCGAACAGTGATTTTTCACACTATCAACAAATCAGTGAAAATAAATTCAATAATGAAACCTAAATGTAGCACCATTCAAATTATAATAATGACTTGATTGCAGAAACCAAAATAGAGAAAAAGCAGCAGGTACGTGCAATAGGTTGGAATTATCAGTTGATACATGTGCTATCTGTTTATAGCGGCAAAGATAATTGTCCAAATTGTTATTTTTCTCTTATTCATAAAGAACATTATCTATATTTCTGTCCTCTTCTAAGGTTAGTGCCACTGAAGGAAACATTAATTTAATTAAAATCAGTTTTTAGTGTATGTTTCAATGTTCTTTGTTAAAATGCTTTTAAAAAAGTGCTGATTTAAGTTCATTTTTTTCTAAAAGCTGATCAGATGTTCATAATTGTGTATAACATGTAATTAACTCGTGCCTCTCCTGTTAGATTAAGATTCGAGCTCTTTTACTTGTTACTGGAGTTGTAATGGGTGGAGGGGAGATAAAAGCCTTGAGACAGATGTACAGTCAGTTTGTACATGTGTCAGCAGCACATGGTCTAAATGTTGATGTGATGGAGAACTACATCTGGACAGAAGAAACAGTGAGCGTCCATGTAACAGGACACACGTGTGTAGATGTGGCTAAATGGTAAGAATATACATGCGTGTACATGTCTCTACGTGTGTGCGTGTGTCTGCAAACATGCATGCAGGTATACATGTTTTTGTGTGCTGCTCTGAATCCAGCAGCTGGTGAACTGAAACTGGTGGTCATGCCAGAACTTGACGCCCTCTCTGTCAGAGCTGCTGGAAGTGCTTCTACACCCCCACCCTCATCTGCAGCCCCTTACCACCACCACAACTGTAATAAAAACCATACACTGCCGAACACTGTCTATCAATTCATCCACTGAAACCCCTCCCCTGTAGTTTACAGGCCTGTAGCATGGCAGCGTGCTGAGAGAGTCCTCACAGGTCTGAGTCCTGCTGTCGGCTGTAAACCTGAGAGGGTGTTTACTATGAGCCAGAGTCGACCAATATAAATCCCATTTAACTACCATTAACAGTGGAGGAGATGAAACAGCAAGTTACCTTGAAAGTATTTAATCTGTATTCTTTTTACTTTGAAGACAAACAATACAACTTTGTTGATTTATGGCCCAAATAAAGACCAACTGATGGTTTTATCCTGTAAATTATAAAATACATTTATTCTAACTTACCTCTAGTGATATCTAGTCATTCAGATATTTGATTGTTGATCTGTATCTTCACAGAGATTGAAATACCTGCTTCAGTTATTTCGGTTGACACTATATGAATTATGAAGTTTTGGTTTGAGTGTGGAAATCAATGAAATGTAACATTTCAAAATACATTTTATCAGCAACATTTATTTTCAAGAAACAAATGTCCAACTTATTCTGGACAAACCAAAGACCACACTGTGAGCAGTTTTCATTGGAACTGCAATGGAATATCCAGAGTAAAAGAAACGGGTAAAATGAAAATGAACCATTGCTTCATTTCATAGAAAAACACTGAATGCTGTTTGCAAACTGTGCAAAACATAAAGGTTCCTCAGATTCACAGAAACAGAACAACTGTATCTGTCATCCAAAATAATCATATTGTTCGCTGATGAATGATTCAAATTTTATTTTTCCACTGTTGGAGGCATCACAAAACTAACATTTAGCCGCCTGGACAAATAAAACCAAAACTAAGTGCACACCTATCTGCTATAAGTTTAAAACCTGTTTTTCCTCTTGTTTTGGACGAACTGATCCTTTAATCTTTAAAGCCATTCCTGTATCAGAGTATGAGCTTTGAAAAAGGACCACAGAACTAGTTTTTTAAAAGCAGGGCTGGGAAACAGATGTGGGTTTATATGGTTTGATTTGATTAAACACAGTGAAGCTCAACCTTCAACATGCATGTAACATTCCATTGATGGCAGTGTAAAATAAGTCTGTATCATGTTTCATGCGAACAGTAACATTTATATGTTAGTCCAGATAAACCCCAAATTCCCAAATAAGCTAAAACCGTGTCAATCTTATCATCACTTGACCGAGGGCTTGTATTTATCGAGACTAAAAACAAATGTCACAAGTGTTTTAGCTGCTCTGGCACTAACACACCACAGAGGCACAGCTGTGACAGAGGCCGGGAATGCGTCTGGCATGTCCACCGCAGACATGTGGGACAACGCTACCACTTGTGTCACATGTGGGGTCAGAGGTCAGCGTTTCATGTCCCTGTATAAGGTTACAGGCAGTAGAGATGCCAGGTCTTTGTTGCGGACCAGTTCAGATAGACGGGCTTGCACAAACAGTTGCCATGATGAGGGAGGTGATGGAGAGCAGACGAGTGTTTGGTCCACACATGTAATGATTGCTACACCACCCTGAATCTGATCTGAATCAAGGAATTGCCCAAATAAACATGATTATAACAGTTTGTCTCTTGTAAAACCGAACTGAATGTTTAAGAATGTGGTTAAATAGGAACAAATGGGGTTTTTAATTAGAGAAGAAAATAATTCAAATGTTTTTTACAGTCTGACTCTATTTCAGGCCAAGCCTCCATTCAGGGTTTGTGGTGGTGAAAGAGTCTCAGAAAAAGAAAACATATATATGTAAAACTAGAACTAAAGAGTATGAAAATAAAGAGTCTAATGCTCTCTGTCCACTCCAATAACCATCTTTCATCAGCAGGTGTGTCATAGCACTCAAACCAAACGCACACAAACATGTTATTAGCGTGTTTCGCTGCCTTCCGTGTAAAAATGAACCCAAATAAACACAGACTAATCGTTTCAGTAATCTGCCGTGTGACGGCAGATTATTATTGGGATCTATCGTGTGGAGAATTGCTTTGCGGTGCAGAGTTTATTGTGTTTGTCCAGCAGTTTGAGTCTGGTGCTGAATTTTGTTTTATGGTGGCGGAGCAGATGAAAGGTTTCCCTCCACTGGTCTTAGATAAACAGTAGTACAACGATCACTGCAGGGCATAGGCCTCTATGTGAGAGGCTCAATATGTGCAGCGTAAACACACATTAATCAACACGCGGAACGTTTCTTAGAACACCAAATGTATCAGCTGCTGTATCATAAACGGGGAAAGTGTTGAGTAAAAGCGAGTTCTATTTATAGTTAATACATTTACAGTGTAGTCTGGATTGGATTAGGTTTAGGATTTCTTGTTGAGTGATTTACTACCTTGATTTATTTTAAGGATGTGTGTGAGAGTTCTGCAGGGTTCTGTAAACAGGATAAACAGGAGGTTTTGGGGGTTTCAAAGAGTGGGTGTGTGATGTGAGTGTGATGTGTGTTTTTTTGGGTGGGGGTGTGGCTGGGGGGGTCCCTGTTATCAGGGCAGCTGGTCTCTCAGGAAGGAGGAACACACACTCACACATGCATGCTGAGGACTGATTAAGGTTGATGCTTCGTTAATTACTTTAAGTCCATTAATCGGTAAATCTGCATATATTCTCTTTGACCATTTGTTTAACTGTCGGTGGATCAGAAATGCTGCAGCTCAGTGCTGTTTTATCAGAGGCTAAAAGAGATTTAGAAGCTGCTAAAAAACAGTGCTAATGTGAAAGTGTACGAGTAGATCTTTTAACAATTTCATTTGACTCTGACTAACGTGCTTATTCAAGCAGTCAGTATGGAATTGTGACTTTTTTGATATACTTCTTATTACCACAAAGTATCTGTATCTGCAATGTCCTTGAAACAGCACAATAATATGTTACATGGTTCTGCTTATTACCTCCTCAAGGAAGTTATGTTTTCGCTCTCGTCTGCTGGTTTGATTGTTTAGCAGCAGGATACAAAACCTTTTGGCCAGAGGGGACATGGACCAAGAAGGAACTCCTTCTTTGACATTTCCACCAATTTTCCAGGGAATAAATAATGGATATTGATGAATTAAAAGAGGGGGAACTGATATTTATGA